AAGAAAAAATAATAAATAAAACCTTAAAAAATGAATAATGGTTTTAGAAAATAGAAGGAAAAGAATACCCTCTCTCATTTTCTAAGGTCAATAAAACCTAGATGCCCAAAGAATAGAAGTTTTGCAGAAGAAATCACAGGTACTCTTACTTCTATAAAATTACTAACAAAATTTCACAAAATCCAATCTAACAAAGAATATAAATGAATACTACCCTCTGCCATATTTAGTTTTGCTTCAGGAATATAAGGGTGTTTTTTTGTTCTGTCTAACCACATTGTTTATGTCTCTTCAAATTTTAATTAAAATGTTAATTTCTCAAGAGTCTCCTTGCCCTCCTATGTAAATTTGCAACACTTTTACATATTCTCACCATCATGGAGGGCTATATTCTACATAGTACCTACAGCCATCTATGAATTGAAATTTTTCGTGCAGCATCAGATTAGTCCATTGGGAGGGAGACATGAAGACCAAGATTAGCACAAATGAGTTTATTGGGGAGTTCGCCTCAGATAAGTTCCTGTAGAAGAAAAGGGAAGAACATAGAATTGGTCAGGGAGAAAGTGGAGTGTAATGTCAAACTCCCCTGGCTCTGCAGGAAGTTCTATAGCTACAACGTCCCTTCGAGTTTTTCCAATTTGAGGTGAGGAGTCCGGGTCTTAACACCTGCACTGCTCAGTCATTACATGCAGCCCTCCAAAGGCGGAGTGACTTTGGGTGTGTTGGTTCTCTTCTGAGAGGTTGACCCAAAGGGGGCTGACAATAAAGGGCTGTCTGCCAGCAGCACGCCTAGAAGCTGGGTAATAACTGCTTCTTTCATAAAAGAGCCTGAGGATGTCATATCACAGTGTCTCACACTTATCTCTCTTGTATCTCACCTGTTTCTCCTCTCAAGGAAGCACATTCTCTGTACATGGTTTCATCAGCCTGGCCCCTGTGTACTCTCAATTCATATTTGTTGAATGAATGAATAAATGTGTGTATTAGAATCTTGACTATGATTTGACATATTATTTAGTAAAGACCCAAACATATGATTATTTTCAAGAAATGGAGGAAAAGCATTTGAATATAGTACAATATCCTTTCATAATGATAAAAATAGTGATGTGAGAATAGAAGAATCTACCTTAACTCCAAAGAGGGTATTTCAGAAATAATCTGCAGTATATGAAATACTTAATGGTCAAATACTCAAAATACTCTTTAAAATAAAGAACAGTATATAACAGATACTTACTAATGATACTTTTATATAAACAACATAGTTTGGGTTTAAGTCATTGAGAAGAAATAAACATGCAACTATTAACAGATAATATTAACATCCAGGTAGACAATGCCAAGAATCTATAGATAATTTATCAAAAAGAATAATAGAATGCAGTGAGTTTGCAGAAATAAAAATACTATACAAATATTAATTGTATGAATTTACGAAGCAAAATTTATTTAGAAAGTGTGATTTCTAAAAGACGCTAACAAAACATTAAATAAATATCTGGAAAGGGTTCTAAGATGTGAAAGAACATTGTGGAAAAATCAATAACATTTTACTACTGAAGGACACAAAAGACCTAAAAAATGAAAAGAATATTTTAATTTTGGATAGATATACACAATATCATAGAGATATCAATTGCCCCCCACATACACAATAGCTTTTTAGATTTAAAGCAAATCCAGGATTTTATTGTATTTGAGAAGCTGATTTTAAAATTTATATGAAAGAGCAATAGAGGAAGATTATTTCACTTGATGACAAATAAGAACAAAATGCAGTATTTGCCTTACCAAATATCAAGATAATATGGAGCTATATTAACTAAGTGGTTTGGTTCTAGAACAGATAGGAAAATAGCACCAAGTAAAACCTCACCTATATATACGAAATTTTATTAAATGATAATGTGCCATGTGATCCAACAATCCTACTGCTATGTATATATCCAAAGAAACTGAAATTGGAATGTCGTAGAAATATCTGTATGCCCATGTTCAAGGCAGCACTATCACAATAACTGAAATTGTGGAAATAACCTAAGTAAGTGTTTATCAACACATGAATGGATAAAAAAGATGTTATATATAAGATGCTATAAGAAAGAAGATCCTGCTATTTGTAACAACTTGGATAAAACTTGAAGGTATTATGCTAACTGAAATAACTCAGGCTATATAATATCATTTATATGTGGAATCTTAAAAAGCCAGACTCATTGAACTAGAGAGTAGAGTGTTGATTACCAGGGCACGAGAGGCAAGAGAAATGGGGAAATGTTGGTTAAAGGGCACAAACTTCTAGTTATAAGATTAAGTTCTGAAGATATAATGTACAGCATTATGATTATAGCTAATAATGCTGTATTATATACTTAAATATTGGTAACAGAGTAGATCTTAAATGTTCTTACCACAAAAAGAAATGGTAATTATGTGACAAATTGGAGATTTTAGCTAATGCTGTGATGGTCATCATTTTCTCATATACAAATGTGTCAGACTAACACATTATTACACCTTAATTTTATGTGTTATATACAAATATATCTCAAAACAGGTGGAAAAATTGATCAAATACAGGAAATCAAATACTGGCTGCAGCAATTCAATTTCTGTTGCTGTGGTTACCTTACCTCCTCCATCTCTCTGTGTCATTTTTCTTCGTTTTAACTTATAAACATACACTTGATTATATTTAGGGCCTACTGATATAACATGTAAGGGTTAAGGGTCATCCTCTATAAGTACCCAAATTCTGACTAAGTAACATTCACCAGTTATCATATAATGTTAATAAATTAGGGAAAATAGGATGTGGACATATCATTTTGAGGGCCCCTATTTACCCACTAAGAGATATCTTCTGGTTATTCCATGAAAAATCCATAATCATCTGACCCCAAGAAGGACAGTCAGAGTTCTTCCCTGGGAATCATGTCCTATTATGACATCTCCATCTGACACCACCACCTGATAACTCTGGGGAGAACCAGTCCTAGGACAAGACAACACATGGAAGATTGAATAAATCTCTACTCCCCTGTTCCTATGCATTTCTTACCCCTAAAGTTCTTGTCATGAAAGCTAATTCTCTTTATTGTTTGGGCCCATTAGAGTTAGAGATTTTTTTCTTATCAGAACTGAAGGCTTCCTCACTGATAAAGTTCAAATACCTTACTATCATCTTAAACCACTGCTATAATCTAATTATGCAAATTTCATAGGTAATGAAACTGAGTATGGTAGCTGCTAATGTTTCTAAAAAGAATATGGTTTACCAGCGAACAATCACATTAATGACTAAATACGTCCATAAAAGCCCAGCTCCCTTACTTCACTATAGGCCTAATGTCAGGGAGCAATTGACATGACCCTACCATGGGGTCAGGTGGAAGTTAGTCTCAAAATATGACCACAGTCTCACAGAAGGACAGATGCAGCACCATCAGACCGTGAATTATGGAAAACACAGCACTAGGGAACATAGAAAGTACAGTCAGCAGAACACAGAGATGAGGATTCATGATAACCGTATACCTCAAGGGGTGACAAATGGCCACATAGTGGTCATAGGCCATTACTGTAAGGAGAAAATTCTCAAATCCACCCAAAACCACAACAAAGCCAATCTGGATGAAGCAACCTATAAAAGTGATGCTCTGATTTTGTGCTTGTATGTTTACCAGCACCTCTGGGAAGGTGATTGTGCTTGTGAGGAGAAAGAAAGATGGCTGCAGTCAGGCTCCCAGCCGACATCCTTAGCAGCTTCTGAGTGGAGGTGAGTCAGCACTTCTCCCCTTATGTAACCATGTGCCCACTACACATGTGCAGGCTCCTATAACTTGGCATTGTGCCGCTATTGTTAACCCATGTATATAAAAGCAACGCCGCCCTGTGAGGCTGGCTGTGCCCTTGCTGGAATAAAGAGCTATATTGCAATGCATACGGCTCCCCACATTTTCTTCCAACTGCCCGAGCCTCATATCCTTTACTTCAGTACCTCAAACCTACAGCAGCACAGTGCTTATACAGATGCCAGTAAAGGATGGATTGCAGAGAAAGAAATATGTGGGGGTGTGCAGGTGGGAGTCAGAGCTAACAGCCAGGACAACGAGAAGGTTTCCCAGAATGGTGGCTAGGTACATGGTCAGGAACAGGCAGAAGAGGTGGGGCTATAGTTCTGGATCATCTGTCAATCCCAGGAGTAGGAATTCTGAAACTTCTGTTTGGTTGTTGGTGAATCTGATGGAAAAGATGAAGTGAAAATCAAATACAATGAATGGTCCCAGGGGTAGCAGCAGCATCAAAAAGGAACTTGATAGAAAAGTAAATTCTTGATACTTCTTCAGATTTACTGCCGATAAACTATGAGGGTGATGGCCAGCAGCCTGTTTTAACAAGCCCTCTAGATGAATTTCATACATGCTCAAGTTTGAGAACCAGTGCTTAAATAGAAAGAAAAAAAGAACCTCTATGTATATTGTGAACCCAAGATAATAATCAAATCTTTCCCTCTGCTATTTTTTCCTGCCATCATCACCTCTCACTCTTTCTGTTTCCTCTAATCCCTTATTGGCCCACATATTTATTGATCACCAGCTCTGTTTCCCACCTTGCACAAGTGCTGAGACTGAAACAAAGAACAAGACTCAGAATTTTCTTCAGAAATATTCCTTTCTTCAAACAAACAAAAAAATGAGAATAAAGTTATTCGATCTCTCTTGTAGAGTATGGTCCCCAAATTTTGGCATGCCCAGAATCATCCAAATGGCTTGTCAAATTCCTGATGAGTTAGATCATACAATCACTTTATTTATGTATAGAGAAACAGGAAAAGTTAGGTTATATTGTGGACAAGAAGTACACAGTGCATGGGAAAGAGAAAATTTGAGTTCAGATCTTCTGATTACTGAAATGACTCATGACCAATCATCTTTAGAGCTTCAGGATAGTATAGATTTAGCATTTCTAAACCACCACTCAGATTTCATAATTTACTTTTAAATTTTTAATATATTCATCTTGAAGAAAGCCTTGATTTTTTCCCCTCCTCTGAAAAGTAAGTCCACCTCTACCCATGAAGTAGTGTGTAGCGGGTCATGGTATTGGTTCATGTATATGCTCTGCATCTGAGCATAGATTTTAAAATGTTGCCTATAAGTTTGAAGTTTATAAGATTCCCCCACGGATACACTACTCATATCATGAAAGATTCATTCTAAGAGAAGCTGGACAACCATGTTGATGACATTTTCTATCTCA